ACCCCAGCCCGATCCGCTGGGGCAAGGCCAGGGTCTTCAATGCAGCAGCGTAGAGAAGCGCTGGGTGGAGGGCTGGGAACGTCAGATGAGCGAACATAGTTGAAGCAGTGTCTGACCCCAGAGACATGTAAGTTTGGGGCCCCAGGTTTGTGTGTGTGGAAGTGACAGTCATGGGCATAGATGACAGTGGCACAAAGGACAGTCGCTGGGCAAAGCTGCTCCCACGCCTGATGCCTGACGTGTGTGTGGAAGTGACAGTCATGGGCATAGATGACAGCGGCACAAAAGGACAGTCGCTGGGGGCAAAGCTGCTCCCACGCCTGACGCCTGACGCCTGACGTCTAGAGAAAGCTAGAAGGGGCCACCTGCAGGCCCAAGGACAAAGGCACGGCTAGGAGCCTGTCAGGTCCTTTCGCTTTTTAATTAGTGGCCGTTTTCACTTTCGGGAAATTGCACATAAACCTCTGGAGTTCTGGAGCCTCTTGGGAAGTGAAAGCTCTGCTGCTGAGTGCCCTGGAGGCAACCAGCAGAGCTTAGTGCCAGGCGGCTGTGGACAGGCGCCCCATCTGTCCTCACCGCTGCCTCCTGCCACACGCCTGGCGGCTTCCCTTCCTGATGCTCCCTGCTACATGTGCAGGAATGGCGCCCGGAAACCCAAGCTAGAAGCTCAGTAGGGGCAAAGATTGGGGTGAAGACCATGGGCCTTCAATGGTGCAGAGGGGAGGGACCTAGGGATAAGGGGCTGCCTCTCAGAAGCATCCCCGAGTTCTTCTCTGAGCCAGACACCCTGGGAGAGGTTAGCCCGCAGACTCCGGGCGGACTTCCTCCTCACGCCCCTTCCTCCGGCCCAGACCAGCGCGGTGGACATCTTCTCTGCAGGCTGCGTGTTCTACTACGTGCTTTCCAGCGGCAGCCACCCCTTTGGAGAGAGTCTATATCGCCAGGCAAACATCCTTGCAGGCGCTCCCTGTCTGGCTCACCTGGAGGAAGAGGCCCATGGTGAGAGGGACCTGACCCAGCAAAGAAGGGAGGCAGGGCATGAGGCTGGGGGGCCTAAAGAAGCCACCCCCTCTCCCCCGCAGACAA